TTTTCTCAGATGGCATGGAATTAAATAGCTACTATTAAGGATTAATAAGGGCTCACAGAATGTTATCAAATGTTTATAATGCTATTAGGGAGAAAACCTTAAGTATCATTTCCAATATTTTGTGGTACTGTGCCTAGGTATTTAATATCTGTCAGTACTAGAGTATTCTGTTAAACGAGTCTAGCAAATGCCTACTGAATTGGTTGTTTCAATTATACAATGGTACAGGTAGAGCTTTTCTTATTTCCAGTGAAAGTCCGGAACACCTTCAATAGGAAGAATAATAAGAATGCATTTCAGAATCTCAGCGCGAAGGGTTTGGGAAGAGTTTTATCATGGAGTTTTGTATGCACAGTAAGTTTACAAATAATGTAAGTGAATAGATCAGACCCTAGCAAGAAGGACTGGGTTCTAGGACATCCATGTTTGTCTGAGACACTATGAAAGTAGAGATCCAGATACCTGAGCCTAATTTCCAAGATTATTTAAAACAGAATGTTTTCTGTGCTGCCTCTTACTGCACGGCCAACCGTAGTATTGAAGTACCTTCCCAAGAGTAGCTGAAGTAGTTTAAGTCTTCATCTCGCTTCACTTTCTCTTACACTAGTGCCAGGGGGCGTAAGGCACAGGAAAATGTTTTATTTTGGCAACGTATTTCTATTTGTTTTTAAATTATTGCATGTTTGTTAGTTAAAAGGAAATTCCAGGAGAGATGCTTTGTGTGTAGAGAGAAATTGGTAAGCATTTGGACACTCGTTTATTTTTTTATTATCCTAAAGAAATGTCCGTTTCTGCTGCAAGAGTGAGTTATGCTTTACCCTAAAGGAATAAAGTCATGTGTAGGACACGTTCTCCTTTTGACATCATGGTCTGAATTCCCAGCAACTTAGTGTACCACGATTAAGCATATAGTGTGTGTAATATGTATCAAGCTTACGTTCATGTATTTTATAGTCTCGATTACAGATTTTCGCCCTCTCCTGGTTTGTGGCTTCTGCGTGATAAACCTTCTATAAAGTAGTGCGTGCCTTACATTGAACCTAAGTGGCCTCTCAGGATTATGTTTCAGTTATTAAAATGGAGGCCTGGAATTCCTGCTCGTCCTTGACATAGGATAGGAAGTGAGTGTCATTCCATCTGAACATTTCCCTCTATCCACCTGAAACTATCCCAGGATAAATTGTTGCTGAAGGCAATCAGCCATCCTTTTGATAACATACCTTTCGTGTCAAAGGTCACTTCAATGCTTCTGCGACTGTTTATTAGCTATGCGCAGTAATGAAAGGGTGAGCGAGTTCCTTACAGCTTGGAGATCCTGAATTTGGGATCTTGTATTGGTGATTCATTTGGCTCATTCAGGCTCTAGATTTTTCTGACTGTTTCTCTGTGAATGAAGGGCAGTAGTTGTGGAGACACCACAGTCAAGTCTTGTGAATGTTACTGTATAGTTGTAGGAGGAATACCATGCTTGGGAGAAAAAAAAAAAAAAAAAAGAACTCTTAGGTAAAAATTCCTCTTGAATCCTGTGCATTTGTATATCTAAATTGGTTTCTTCCATCTTCAGTAATTTCTGAAAATCTTGTCAGTTATGAAGGTCAAGTTGTCATTTAAGGAAGTTTGAAGGCAATCAGTGAAGTTCTTGAGTAGAATGCGCCGAACCAGCTGTATTTTGTTTCTGTCCTTGGGCAGCCCCGTGCTACTGGAGATGTTTTAGACATTCAAAAAACGTGCTTGTCAAAAGAAAATAGCATTTTCTTGGGTGGAAAATTCTCTTAGGAAACCAGCTTTCTGATGAGAAACCCGAGAGGAACTGCTGTAACCCTGAGGAGTTGTCTAGTAAATGCTTTTGTAATCCAAAGTGATCATAAAGATGTAAGTTCAGTCTCGTTATTTGCAAATCTGTAATCTGAGATAGCATGCGTTTGATAAGCTATTTGCTTTAAAAGTGATGTAGAAAGGTGGATCTTGATCTTACTCTTCTCTTCCTTTCATCCCATCATGCTATCTGACTGTGTTAAACTAAAACTGTTGTGGGATGATTAGTTTAGATTCTTTTTATACAGTTGCCATATTGCCGAACCCAAGCATTTAGAAATCCTGAGCAAAGCTTTACTGGGGCCTTTTCAAAATCATGAGGTTGACTTAAAAAATATTGAGTTTTAGGTTTATCTGTTTTTTTTTTTTTTTTTTTGAGATTCGAGCTCTGGTTTTCAAACCTTTTCTTTGCAACAGGCAGGTTAAAATAAGTAGTAAATTTCTCATGTGGTGAAGCTGGCGCTATGAGAAACGTGTCAAATCTTTTGAGTCTTCATGTGACTGCAGTGAAGGACAGATGAAAGAGCTGCTGCTCTGTGAGCACCGAATTTTCAGATTCCTAAATAACAAATTCTTTAAACATGTATATTGCTAAGGTGTGATTCTCTCATCTTAGCTGGCATTGCACTTCTGTGTTATAAATCATGTCTTTTTCATGCAGGTTTTCCTCAGATATATACTGCTTTCACTATTTAGGCATATTTTGTCTTGCCTCATTAGGAAGGGCCGCCTTCTTAATGGTGATGTTTACAGCGTGAATGGCATGAAACCATTTAGCAGCATTACCCTGAGGCATTAGGACTTTTGGTTTTGAGGCCCATATTTTCTGGGATGTGTTTTTTATTAGAACAGGAATGTGATCATGAAGCTAGGTATAAAATTATACGGGATATGACTTTGTAACTCAGCCATCCTATCATTATGAGTGTTAATTACTTCATTCTTAACCCTTATGCAGAGCACAAAGTAGACTTAAATTCTTTGGCCCAATTACTTATGCTATAGCTGCAAACAGCATATAGGAGTTTCAGGACTTCAGATCTTGATCGGAGGCCTGTGTTTCAGCAGCTGTCTTTTCTGGCATCTTCCCTGGCTCCACTTCTGGTGGCTGTGGTTATGACTTCTTGTTTAGGCTGGTTAGCTAGGCAGCTTTGGAGGGGAATTGCTCACAGGCCATTTCTGAAAGGGAGAGAACATAAGATTCACAGACTGATGCACAGATTTCCACCTATGTTTTAAATGTGTGGTTCGGCTAACTGTCTCCTCTACATTGGTGCAGCAGCTTTGGGGTGGCTGAGATGTTGGTCATGATGGAGGGGAAGTCAGGCTTGGAGTCGGAAAACTACCATGTGATGTGGGTTGGAGAGCAGGTATTTTAACGTTTTTCTTTGTTTGATGCTGTGCTTAATCCAGTGCTAGCCTGAAACCATCACTTCCCTGGTTTAATACGCAGACCACGAGTAAATTGCAGATGTTTCTTAGGTGCGCAAGACAGTTGTTCTCTAGTCTGAACTAGCTTTTGCCATTCATTGCAAAATAAATATCACGGTTCCTTTTTCTAATGTAAATTTGAAATTTGTAGGGTTCATTGTTTGTCAGGTTTATTTTCCATTTCTCTGTATTTTCCTTTCTTGGTCATCTTTTGACCAAGAAAAATGATTTGCAGTCAAATAGTAGTGATGTGATTTATGCCTTCTTGGTCTGGTAAAGATGCACAAGACACTGGAGCAAGCCCATGTACGTTGTGGGCTTTATGCGCTTAAATAAAACATCAATTGGATATTTTAAAGGTAACAAGAAGTAGCTTGCCCTTTTCAGGGCCATAGTGACTTTGCTGTTAAAATACAACTTTTGAATTCTGTTTTTGTTTGTCAGCCTGTTGATTTCAAACACATTTGACCATGTTTATCTTTCCCCTGTGACAGAATTATGTTTAAGTTTTTTGAGTAGTTGATGTATCGGCTTAATTGATCTGCATGGCAAAATTGTTAGCTGTTGAACTCTTTTGGTATTAAATATTCCCATAACATCTTTATCATTTTAAATTTTATTGTGTTAAGCATTAGGGCTTGTGATGCACTGAGAACAAAAGGATGGGAAATAGCTCATGAATCCTGCTTAGTATTTCTACTCTTGTATCTGAATTTTTTTTGTAAAGAACAGGAAAGGGCAAAGCAGATTTCTGAAAAGGCTTTCACCGTATTTTTTTTAGTCAAATTATACGTAAATCAGCATAGTTAATATTTAGCTAAACCAGCAGCCTTTTTTATCAATATATATGCAGTGTTGTTTGTTGAAATGGTTATTCTAAATACATGACAAACTATTAATAAAAGAAAAGGTCTGTGTGCATCTTGTATTTTAATGAAACCAGAGTGCATAAGGCTAGGCTTTGAACAGGCTTTTGGTACTTCTGGCCTGCAACGCAATCCCTGCAAAGGCACATTTATATGGCCTGCAGGTGCAATATTTAATGGCACTCTTGTTGCAACAGCAAGGCTGTCATAAGGATAGGCTGAGAAGCTTTTATGAATAGTTTCTTTGCTTTTAATTTTGAGCCTCTGATCTCTGTGCAGGCTTAAAATATACTTCATGGGGTATTTGAAAGACAGCTCCTTACCTGAAGACATGCTTACCTGGATAGAATGAGACTGACTTGAGCTTATCCCTGCAGAGCTGGGGCAGTTGCAAGCACTCACAGATAGGATCAGTAAGAGCTACGAGAGCTGATGGCTCAGGCCTTGGGACATGAATTGAGGCTAAGATATGAAAGCTGCTGTCTCTGTTTTTGGGCAAAATAATACAGGAACAACCGAGGATCAAATGTGTATAAATGCTCTCTTGGTAAGGTTAATGTTGCTTGCCTGGGCAGTACAGGCAGTTTGTGGAAATGTACAGAAAATTACTCCTCCTTATTTTCCTGTGTTTTAAGACTGGCAAATTGAGCAGCGATGAAACAAAATTATGTGGTTGCTTGGGAAGTGCAGATTTTTCCACCAGTTTATGCTCTTATCCTGCCTGTGTAATGAGGAAGAAAAAGAAACTTAGAAGTCTGCAAGATTTCTGGTTATGGAGTCATTCATATTGTCACGTGAGCCAATTAGCTCAGCACCATGACAGAGCTGTACGTAAGGTTACCTAGAGGTTGTCACTGAGTGCCAAACCTGTCTGTCCTTTTTTCCCAGAATGATGAAGTCCTCTGCACATACAGAAGAAGATGACTTTGTGCCAGAGCTTCAGAGGAGCATCCATCCCCGAGAGAGGCCAGATTGGGAGGAGACTCTCAGCGCTATGGTAAAACACCTTGTTGCATTTTATAGATGTGTTATTTCCAGTTCTGAACAGCTTTAGAATAATTAGACTACTGTTTCTTTTATTTTCTAGCTAGTCCTTGATTTATATTTCCTGAGTTTCAAATTTTGAAATGGATTAAATACTAGTTTCAAGAATACAGAGATATTTTCTTTCCTCTGGCAATTTGTCAGCGAGAGAGAGAATGAGCACGCATAATGCTTCTGCCCTATTAGTATGTACCCCAAAGCAGGTCTAGTAACCAATTAAAAGGTCCGTAATGTCACAAGGATTTTCAGTTTGCATTAACCTTTTTTCAGCAGCAATCCTAAGCATGAAGGGAACTTGTGAAAACCTGCTCTTTGAACCATGCAGCATTGTGGAAAAAGAAGATTTTAGGAAAACGTTGGCTAAGTCTACAGAAAAAAACATTAGACTGAAAGCTAACCTGCCATCAGACTGAACAGAGTAGCAGAAAAGTAACCACAAAGGTTCTGTTATCGTGCTTAATGGAGACAGTACGTGTGGGCAGTGGGCCACGGACAAGCGTGTGTACTTGATTTGTTTTCTTTTTAAACTAGTGAGCAAAGTGCGTGCAGTCTGCTTTTCCTAACACCCTCTAGCATTTGCTGAGCCTGGAAAGTCAGTTGTTATTTTATTAGCAACCTAAGAAGGCAATCTGATTAGGTGGTTTTGTGAAGTTATCTTACCTTAAAGAAGCTTGTCCTGCCTTGTTTCAGTATAGGAGTGTCTGGAGGCTGCATGCTACTTGTTATTTTCAGGTTTCCTACATTGCCTCATTAGCCTACTAAGCTGAAGGAGAAATTGCCTTCTGTGACAGATCTTAAATAGGGAGGAAGGTCTGAATGTTGCAGGGCAGCGGCGATGCTCTCAAGGGGCATGTCTGACATCTCAGCAGCATGTCGAACGTTGCCTACTGTGATATGGGACTAGGGACAATTTGTTCCTAGCGTTGGATGACGTGGCAGTGGCAGAGCTTCAGCCTGGGAAAGCTATACCTGCTTTGCTTCTGGACTTTTCAGCAGTGCAGCAGCAGCATTGGAGATGGGGTGGATTTAGCTGTACTGCAGAAGTCAGATTCATCTGATGTATGGGGTTGAAGGTGTGCAGAGAAGCCCTGAGGGCTGCATGGGAAATGCAAGGCCCTTGTGGATAAAAGAGGTTTTCACTGTTGCTCGGGAGATATGGTATGTATTTGTTCTTCCTCCCTTGGACTTGCAGAGCTGTTGAAAAAAGTTTCACCACTTTTTGTGCTGTGTTACTGTACATATCCAGCATTTCCATGAGCAGGGCTTTCATGCAGTCCTGTGAGGACTTCCTGCAGCATTCTTCGTATAGTGTATCTTAACCAGTAGCACTTGCATCTTAATAGCAGCACTTAATTTGAACATGCAGGTTATTTTGTAGTGGTTTCACAGATTTCATGGGTTTAACACCAGCAGTGGAAAGAAAGGTGGGATTAAGTAAATGCAGCTTGCTCATCTTGAAATGAAGCAGTAGACAGATTCCTTCTGATTTTCTCACTTCTTTCTGGCACAGCATAAAATCCTTAATAATCCTGTTGAGGATCTGAGTAACAAGTTTTCTTTGTCTAGAAGTTGTGATTTTGTCACACAGGCATCTGTGCTTCACATAGCAACACCTTTCCAAATGACCTTTAAAGGAAGGGTGCAAGATACTCTGTATTTATACTGTGCCCTACTGTGAAGAGAGCATGGATTTCAGCTTCGTTTATGTCCACAAGCTGAATAAGCCTTTCTGAGATACAGTTCAAGTGAAACAGTGCTATTCACGAAGCCAGCAAGCAGGACATTTTTGTGTTCAAACTTCACTGGAACATGAACAGTCTTCGTCCCAATGGATTATTTAAAGTTTAAAATACCATTAATGTCTGGCCAGGTCAGGTGAGACGTCTTTTGGGTGAACTGTTCTTTACACAATGTTCAGAAAATATGTGGGTAGTAAACTCTCCCTACAAGGCAGATCCTTATTTTAAATGTTTAGAGAAGGGAACAAAAATAAGTTCTATGTTTTACTGTTGTCAAAGCATCATCAAAACCTATCAAATACAATGGTAATATTTTGTTCCAAACTTTATTTTCAAGCCAAAAACCAAAACCAGAACTCACCAGCATTCTTGTCTGCTGGCATTTTCTACCCTGGTCCATCTGCTTAACTCCTTGCTTTTTTTTTTTTTTTCTTTCCCCTTTTCTCTGCCTTGGCCATCCGTTCACATAGACGTGTTGTTCAGCTAGCAGTGCATGCTCCCATCCTCAGAGCGTGGTTCTTTTTAACATCCTAGAGCCAGGAGTCCTGTGTAAATCACTGTTGACACTGTGTTGTCGGTAACCTCAGGGTGTGTCTCAGGAATGTGGATCTCTAATTCAGTCTCCACCAGTAGCACAAGTTAGCTGGCATACCTCTTTTGTTACTGTTTTTTTTTTTTTTTCCCACTGCTAATTTACAGTGGATGAAAGGTTCACTTGTTCTGGCTTGATATTTTCCCTGTTCTCATCAAGGCTATTGTGCTCATGGATGTTTTTTAGTGTCTAGTTGTATAGGTCAGCCTACATTTATGCATAACATTCAGAAACGACATCTGTGCATGTTGAACGTTGGACTGGTTGCGTGTACTGAGGATGCTGTGCTCCTCCTGAGACCTTCTGCAAGAACCTGAAAGTACTGTCTGCATCAGTTAACAAAGGAGAATGAATGTAGACCTGAATGAAAACAAGTTTACTCTAGTAAGCACTGTGTGGAAATGCACAGCTTTCCAGGAGATGCAGGAATTGTCCTCAGCTCAGTAATGTCCCAGAATCTTCTTTATCTAATTTCTGTACCTAATTCAGGATCGTGAGTCAACAAATATCGTGATACTTTTCTACAAGTATCACATTTGTGATTATTATAGAGTTGGTGGAATTACTCATCATTTATGAAAACAATTATTATAAACATTGCCCTCTTCTAAATGTCTTGGAAATGAGTTCCTGTATTCCCAAGTATGTTTATAATTATCACCAAAATAATTTGTTTGATGTTTCAGAAGTGGGATATGGAAAAATTGTTCATGTCCAAGATTAGTCTCTTTTTTGTGAACGCTCAGTGGTCTGTTATTTCATTGACAGAAAGGTTTCTTCTCCATAACTAAAGGAGTAAAATGTTTAAAAATAAGATTGATAAGTATTTTGCACTTTTGAAAAAAATAAGGTTTAATGACAAAACGTTAAACATTTCTGAACGTTGGTATGAATATTCCAGGGTAGATGCAACTTGTCATCTTATTCACAAAAATGTTTGCTAAGTGCATTCTGTTTGGCCATCTCAAGGTACTGACTTTTGGTAGTAAATTCTAATTAAGAAAGTTTCTGTAAGATTCCTGTCAATTACTGGTATGATGAAGCATAGACCTATGCATAAAGCTACTGAACTTGAATTTGTGATAGCTAGAGTTTGTGCTTGTGGAGGTGTTTTGATCACATGATCTTCTGAATAAGTTGTAGATGGGTTGAAAATCTTCACTTGCTCCATTTCCAGAGTTTATAGCGTTCAGTGGATCAAACTTCCATTTTCAAACCTCTGCATTATAACCAGTCAGAAGGTAAAATTCACAGGATAGTCTCGTGCTAGATGTTTGACACTGTCACTTTCTGTTCTCTGTTTAAACTGTGCATCGGCTTTGTTCTCTCTTTTTCCTGATTATTTTAAGCCTGAGATGTCTTCTCATGCTCTCTTTCTTCATTTTGCATTTTAAGCATCCTCTGATTTAGCCTTTTCCCATAGCATGCTGCTTGCCTGACATGCGAGCTGCTGCTCATAGTTGCATAATAAATTTAATATTTGGTCAGTAGCTGTTTAAGTTGCAGACTTTAGTTTTTGCTCTTGCTTGTTATATTAGCCTCTGGGTAAGGGAGGCTGGACATACCTGTGTTGTTTTCTACTCTTCATTGCTTCCCGTGGTAGACAGCTGGTGGCCCAATTGGGTTCAAAGCTTTGTCGCTTTAAATTAATTTCATGTTTTGTCAGGTGAATAAATGCTGAGACTAGCAACAATATAGAGGGCTTGGAGAATTCTGACACAATAGGTGGATCTGAGACGCTAACTCATTTGTCTGTTGAACTTTGCGTTTGTACATGTTTTTGTAGTTTGGGACAAGGGGATTTGTGTCTTCACAGTTAGGGGAACATACTAGTTGTCCCCGTTCCCTGTTTTATCTGCAGCATATATAGAAGTGCTTACTGTTAATTTCTTTAAGTCCTTGATGTTTACAAAGCTTTTTCTTAACAACAAATAAATTAAATTTCTTTGTCTTTCAAATGTGTGGAGATTGAATGTCCTCCTATACAGTGACTATATTAGGCAGGGCAGAAACTATTTTTAATGTTTCTGACGTTAATTCTGGGCACCTGAGTAACTCTCGTCCTTTAGTTGATGCTGTGTTTGTCATATTTACATTCATCGTTTGTACTTTCATCTACTTTTTTAAACTTCTTGTTAGTGTATGATCTAGCAGAAAGCCAGGTCATTTTGTACTGGAGATCTGGTTTGTTTGGGGGTATTTCTGGTGGTTCTTGAAACTTTGCAGTATTTATGAAATCCTGTGCAGTAAGTTTGGAGAACTAGATTGAAGGAGATGCAACACTAGATGGACAGGCTTTATAGGAGTTGGATAATAGGACAGCTGCCTGACCAGTCCTCGAGGACTGGTACATTTTATACCTCTCCCTACTTATGTTCTGTATTTTTAGAATTTGGTCCTATTAGATATATTATTTTTCACACTATCTCAGCCTCCTATTCCCACTGCACAACTGGCCTGCTGGGTAACCTTCAAACATGCCATTTTTTCTTCCCCTGCTCCAGTTTGGAAAATTGCATTGATGATACTGACTTTCTTTGTAAAATACTTTTGACTTCTAGAGATGAAAAGCTGTGTTTGAGCTAAGTAATTTTGCAGTGTATGGATTTTCTAAAGTTTCTC